CTGCCTCTTTGTGGGTCTATGTTCTTTTATGTTCGAACACTATTTTGGGGGCCATCCTTGCTCGATACTTTCACTGTTTTGGGGGCTATCCTTGTGTGATACTTTCACTGTTTTGGGAGTTTTTAAAATTGTTGTTTTGGGGCATTGAAAATGCCATAGAAGTGCTGTTTGGGAGTGTTAAAAGTATTTTGATGGCTGTCCTTGCTCGATACCCACTCGTTGTTCTACCCTTTTGTTTAGCCGATTTTGGGAAATCGGTCAGTTTTATCTCTTCTTCCCCCGTTTTATTTTCTTTTTTTAGGGCGATGATGACAATGCTTATGTGTGCTAAAGTGGGAGAATAGAACGATACTTTCTATACATCAATGACCTTCAATGAGGGGAGAGCAAGATCGATGATACCATTCACCAACTCTTGATGCGAAGTTCCCCCTAACTCTCTTTGGTTGCCAGGTAATTTTAACCCGATTGAAGGGAGCAAGCGGTGGACTATTTCAGTTTTTTACATGCTTACGCGGATACTACACCCCTTCACGCATTTTCACTTATTCTAAAAAAAACAAATAAAAAAAAAGAAATCGATTTTCAAAAACACTACTTTTGTCCGCTAAATAAACTGTACATGCATGAAAAGTTAAATAAACCTTTGAAAAAAATTATAAAGATCCACTGGTTAATTGTTTTGATTGTGGTCAGGAGTTGCCCTGCTAAGATTGTTTTGGTCGGTACTTCTATATAAAGTTGGATTATAAAGCACGCAACCCAGCTCTGAGCCTTTCCTGACTTGAATCTTTACAGGTCCTCTGCGAGCTTTCATGTGTCACCCGCTCATTTACATGCGTGTATGTTCATGTTTGATGTGTTCATTAAATCCTTAACTATACTTGCTTATTTTACTTGTAATAGTAACACCTTTGCAGCAGCAGCAGACACGCCTGGTACATATTTACAATTTATTTACTGCAAACTTATTGCTTTAGTGCCACTTAATTTTATTATGCATGCTTTACATTATTTTTAAATAAAAAAATGGATATTTGAATATCAATATACACTTTTAAATCTTTTGAATGCACTTAATCTACTCCATTTGGATTTACGGGACTCTCTCGGATAAGGTAACCTACGGTTGGTAATAGGACTTCTCCGGTCAAAATAAACTTGACAACTCATTTAGACTAGGTAAATTTAAAAGAAAATAGTGATGTTGGAATGATGGAAGCGTGAGATCTTATTCGGTGTCGCTCAATGTAAATTAAAGTTCCTCCTTGAACAGTTCAACATTTGAATAATAACGAACAAACAAAAAAATGTGACATATAAACCACAAACCTCAAAACCCTTAAACCCTGGAGCTACTACTACAACATGAGGCTCAGTGCCAACTTCGTGAGAAGCATGACGAGGAGCTTGGATAGAGCAACAAGAAGATCTTCTTCAGCAATTTCTCTCCCTAGTCTAAATAATAACTTATAGGACTTCGAGGTAGCTCGCCCAACTCGACGTAAATTCTCACACTCTCTTTAGGCTCCCATGCAACCAGATTGTGCAGCGTAAGTTCTAACTTGCCTTAGATTCTGAGGTTCTCGTCTAGTACGACGTAAACCCTCATATCCCTCTAGGGTATTTGCTTAATCGGGTATTATGCAAGTGTAAGTCCAAAATAATAAAATTGTCAGAATTAAACACATAAATAACATCGTCTCTAAAATGCAGCCACACAATATGATAGTTTGAGAAGTTACTGAGGCTCTCCTATGGATCTGTGATGTCTTCTACCGTTTTCTTCTTTTGACCCTTGAAAATAATTGTTCCTACTTGAGCCACTCCCACTTGATTTTCCACGCCCTACCGTGAAAACCTAAACCTTAAATTTTTGAAGACTAGTACATCTGATCATTATGAGAAATTTTCTTAAGTTACCTCAGTCATTTGATATGTAATTAATTGTGGGGGTTTGTCTCTATAGAGAACTTGGAGCCCAGGTAAAATAAACCTTATCTATTCTTTATATTAGGTAGGGGAGCTTGTCGGTCACACATAAAAGGTTCGCAGACCAAACGAATGTCACAAATCTCTTAGTTTGCATGATTGAGTCCATCGTCGAGGTATACATTTATCTTCCAGGAAGGTGTGGTATTCGCGGTATCAGACACGATTATGTAAACTATTAGTTGAATGAGAGCCATTCGGTCACATTTTTCAAAATTAAAACAAACTATTTTCAAAAATAAAAAAAAATATGTACCTTTTATATTAGATTAATTTTTTAATCTTATATTTTCAAAAGAAG